CCCTCTCCTTTCGGCATTGACCTAGTTGCATAACTAGTGACAGCATTATTTGTGTTTTCCTTTATGATTTCCTAGTAGCTGGTTGAGTTCTTTCTGTCTTGGGTGTCTCATCTTCTGCAATATCCCTTGATTCATTTCGGATTGTTTCATCATGGGATTTTCGAGGTAAGAAGATTCGGAAGTGGCTCACCATTGCCTTCTTCTGCGCAGTACTGAAAGTAAGGCTGAACACTGCTGATGCTTTCCTGAAAGATGCTCCACCAGTGTCACCTTCATCCACCGCCACTGCCCGGTGGCTGCCCTGCAGGAGTTTCTCCACTCCCATCACCACGACCGAGATCCAGTCTCTTCTGCCGATGTGACTCTGACTCCTTAAGAGCAGGGATGCTTCTTGATCTGGTGTCTCCTCTTTGACCATTCCCCCTGCGGTGACCCTGCTAGGAGACCAGCCCAGTGAGACAACCTGGCCTCCTGGCAGCATCACTCTCAGCTTCTCTGGCACGCCCAACCACCCTGAAGCCCCCTCACCATATTAGGCTGCACATCCAAGAGGGAGGGGGAATAATTCGTACACAATCAATCCGCCACACAGAAAAGCTTCACAACTCTATGTTCCATCACTGTGACTGCTGGAGGCAGCGAATGGTTGTGACAAGTAAAGGTAGTTTCTGAAGACAGCATTTAGTTGGCAATTTTTACTTTACACTTTTCTATCTCATTTTGTTTTCATTTTATGCATAAAGTTTCATTTTATTATTGTTTTCATTTTATGCATACCATGCAATACCCCGAGCTTTTTGGACAGCTTACAAAGATCAAACAATTTAACAATATCAGGCATTATATAAAAACAGATAAATGAAAACATATAAACAGAGATTACGCACACACACACACATCCAGGAGATATTCCATGCCGTAATTAAAAACTTACCAGATGGTGTCAAATGACTGGGCAAAGAAGGCTTTAACCAGAACCAAAGAAATTGCAAAGGCATTTCCAGGCCTCTGTGGGGAATTCGTTCCATAACTGAGGGGTCACCTTTGAAAAGACCCCTTCCCTTGCGGCCCCTTTCTGAGCCACTCCCAAGGAATCACTTCGGGGGGCCTATGGATGATGCTGATGCTGCCATTCATACGCCACAGAGTGGCCCCCCAAGCTAGTTTGCAAGCATACAGAATAGTGTTGGTGTTGGGGGGGGGGTGTTTATGGTCAGAACAGCAATAAAGACCTACCCCCGAAAGTGCTTCTGTGGGGCTGATTCAGCTGGTTGCTCACATGCGGCCAGTAAGTAACCATCGTGTGTTGCACAATTAGGTATCTATAACACTCCTGCATGGGAGCTCCCTGTGTTTGTGCGTCAGAGGGTGTTGTTGCTTTATCTTTTTTAAGTTCGGCTGCCAGTTTCCGAGTAGCCACTAGATGGAGGCAGGAACCCATCCAGGAAAGAAGAGCTTGTAAAACCTGCTACACTCTAGATCAGCCTTCCCCAACGTGGGGCCATCAGAGGCATTTGGACTGCAACTCCCAGAATTCCCCTCCAGAAGGATCATTGACTGGGAATTCTGGGTGCTGCTGTCCAAATGGGTCTGGAAGGCACAAGGTTGGACAAACCTGCCCTAGGTGATCTGGGCTTCAGTTTGATCAGCCCCAGCCAACATTATCAGTGGCCAAGAATGCTGGGAAGTGGAGCCCAACCCATCTGAAGGGCTGCTGTAAACACCTCTCAGAAGCACCAAATTAAGTTTGACGTGACGAACATGACAGATGCCCCTTGCCCCGCTTCTTCGTAACATTTGAACTGTTTTTATGGGACACGGGCCTCTTTATCACGGAGGGGCAGAGGGGCAGATCCAGATCTCTAGGTGATTTGCAGGAGAGGGACCAAGGATTTCGGACCCCAGAAGGCGATACAGCCCAACAGTTGGAGAGAAATCCTGACCGGCAGGAGAACTTCCATTGGCAAAGGAGAGGAAGCCACTCAGCTGCAGGGGCCCTGCTTGGATGCAGAAGCTCCCTGGTTCAAGGCACCCTTTCCAGGAACGAATCTGTCCTAAAACCCCGGAGGCCCCTGCAAGCCATGCTCGGCCATACTGGGCTAGGCAGAGTCCCGGTGTTCCTGCGTTGATGAAAGATGCTTGGGCAACGTGACCACCATCTTTCCCCCGCATGGGGAGGGAAGACTGCAAGAGGGAGACGGGGTGTGTGGAAGATGTTGGAAGAGGGGAAATGTGGCATTTGGAAGATCTCAAAATATTGTACAAATGATAAATGATAGATGAAGTTGAGGTCCTTGTAAATAAATGGGCGATGGTGGTGATAAATTGAAAGGCTATTGCAAAGTTATCCTTTTACACCAGCCTTGAATTCAGCATGTCAGACCAACGTAATAGCATTATTGATTTATTACATTTATACCCCGCTTTTTCTTTTTAAAAAAGAGCTCAGTGCAGCTTCCATCATTCTCCTCCTCCATCTTATCCCCACAACAACAACCCAGTGAGGTAGGCTGGGCCGATTCTGTGACTGGCCCAAAGTCACCCAGGGGGCTCCATGGCTGAGCGGGGACTCGAACCCAGATCGCCTGAGTCCCAGCCCTGCACTCTTCACCACTACCCCACCCTGGCTCTCCGCAGCTTTTATGCTGCATGGATTTGTCTAAACCCCACTAAAGGCAGCTGTAGAAAATTCCATAGTTTGTTTGTTTATTTATTTAGACAGCTTATATGCTGCCCCCATCGCATAAGCCTTGGGGCGGCTTACAATCATTAAAATCCCGCATATATATATATATATATATATATATATAAAAGTTTAGATATGTGGCAGATTCTTTTTATTGGGCAATACAATATTTTATTGTGCAAAATAAACCCAAACTACACCATTAAATAAGAAAAAGAAAACACAATAAAAATAAACTAGATTCTTAACATTTTGAATAAAATTTTAAAAGATCCATAACAATAGTTACATGTATATCATATATCCCTGAATATTAGTATATAGCAGAATATACAACCATTATTAAAAATAAGGATGTATAGATTTCAACAAAGGCCCCCCAAATGTGTGTGCACCAATTTATGGATTCTATCCAAAGACCACTCAACCAAAAATCAAACATTTCATTGAATCCTCCACCCTTGTCTTATTTCAGCTGGCCACGGATATGTCCAGTGTTGAAATATTAGCTTTTGATCACTCAAAAGGATGCAGAAAATAAATTCCAAGAGGGAGGTGCACAAGCGAAAAGAACACATTTATCCTGAAATATTAAAGAACTTTCCAGCACAAGATTTCTCCGGATTTTTACCTCCCCCCTGCTCCAAAAAGGTACATAACAGATTGTGGACATTTGCTCTTCTCTCTCCCGAATTTGCCGCCACTCCGTTTCATTGTGTGACCGTGAGCCCTAGTTGCGTCTCCCATCACGTCCCCTGCACCACGCGCGGCTGCGCACCTCTCGGTTGCATCCGCTCCCTCGCCGCTCTTCTGCGCGACACAGCCCCGGAGTTGCAGGCTCTCCTCGCAGTCACGTTTCTCCAGCCCCTTCGTCATTGTTGCTCCCTCTGCTGCTCTCACTTGATGGAGTTTTGTTGCCCAAGAAAGGTTTTGGCTTCCCCCCCCCCCCCCCCCACACACCGTTCCTCCCGCACTTCAGGCCAAACAGGTTTTCCAGGTTTTGCACTGCTTTGCAAACATGCAAACCATGTTTGATCACAGATGAGAGTGAACCAGGAGAAATGAGTGTGCACCAGGAGAAATGAGTGTGCAGGTGGCACAGGAGAAGATGGCTTTATCGCCCCACCTTGGAGGGCAAAAGTTGAGCATGGGAAAACTTTCCTTCTCTCTTTGTAATTGTCTCTCTGCGTGTCGCTTGGCCTTGGACTGGAAAAAATGGCATTGATGTGGGTCAAGTAACCCCTTCCCGATGTCGCTGCCTCACTCCTCTCCCATGTTCATGGTGCCGTGAGCCGAGGTCCTTCCTCAAATAATGACCAGCCACAGACTATTTTCCCTGCAACTGTTTATTGCTCCCAAGGACAAGTCACCCAGAACTCTGAGCATGCACAGAGTGGTTTGTTGACTCCAATCTAGTGCTTACCTGCAGGAACTCTCCTCATGCGTGTGCCTGGGCCCCATCCCCTCAGGAGGAGCTCTCTGAAGGCGAACACAGCTCCTCTTCATGCGCTGCTCATTCAGTTAGGCTTCTCGCTCTGCTGATACCCTGCCAAGGGGTCAAGCGTGGCAGGGGGGCTGATCTGCACCTGAGAAACCCTCATCCACAGAGACCCCTCCAGGGTTGCACATCTTAGCTCTTTCTAGGAACTGCCTGACTCAGCAAAGCAGCTGACCTAGCCCATCCTGCACAACCTCACTGAGATATGTTTCACTTTTCAGTTCCAAATAATCATCTGAAAGGCAGCCAGCCGTCTGTGGGAATGATGGCCCAAGACTCCCATCCTCCGTACTCCCAACACATGGCAACGTTTACGCACGTGTGTTCAGGCACAAGCTTTAAGCCTTGCGCATGCGCGCACGCACAAGACCCAGTCACAACTCTCCTAGGTCGTGCCTCCTTCAGCTGTAAAGGAAGAGAAAAAAATTAAAAAGAAAAAGAATGTCTGCTCACAGACTTAAGAGGTATGGGTGTGTGGCATGGTATAAACTGGAGTCCTGCACCAGGAGGGGGTTGGACCCGATGGCCTTGCTGACCCCCTTCTGTCTGCAGTATTCAATGAATCTGTGATCAAGTCAGTCCCTGCTTCTCTTGAACAACAGTCACAGTGAGACGATGCCTGCATGCGTTCATTTCCTCTAAAAGCTGTAACCCCACTTTCAGCAGCAGAGGAAAAGGGATGTAAAACTAATTCGGTCAGAAGCTGTCCTTTCTGGTCCTATTATCTTCCAGTTCCACCACATAAGTAGAGTCATACCCCTTGCAGAACCAGACTCTCAAAGAGCTGGCAAGAGCGAAGAACCACCGTGGGTCGAAATGAACCTGCCTATGGAAAGCCACCACCCCCGGACTTTCTCAGGGATAAGATTTTTGGTGTGCCTCATCCTGAGTTTGTGCTTTGTGATCGGGGTCCCAGGAAACGCCTTGGTTGTCTGGACCATTTGCAGAAGAATGAAGCAAAGGTCCCTGACAGTCATTCTGATCCTGCATCTGGCCATTGCCGACCTCCTGGTGCTCATGACCTTGCCGGTCTGGATTTACTCTTTTGCCCACACGTGGCTCTTCGGCCTCGTGGCTTGCAAAGCCCTGGTGTTTCTCATCTACTGCAGCATGTACACAAGCATCTTCCTGATCACCGCCCTGAGCCTGGAGCGCTACGTTGCCGTCTTTTACCCCTTTGTCGTCCAGCGACCAAAGAACAAGAAGGCCACCCACCTGCTGGTGCTCGGTATCTGGAGCCTCTCCATTGTTTTTGGAGCAACCATCATCCCCTTTCAGGAGACGGAGGACACCGACATGGGCTACCAGTGTGCAGTGCGCCGTTATGACACGGCATCCCAGGAGGTGACCTGCCTGCTCCTGGAGACGGCCGTGGGCTTCCTGATTCCCCTCATCATCATCTCTGTCTGCTATGCGTGCATCAGCAGAAGGATCGGCGGGATGACGGGTCCATTGAAGCGACGATCTTCAAGGCTGATCGCTTCCGTGGTGGCCGTCTTCTGCCTGTGCTGGCTGCCACACCACATCTTTAACCTGATCAGTGTCGTTTCGGTGCTGATAGAAGGCGTGCACTCGGAGATTTATGAGGTGCTGGAGACCCTTTCAGCCACGGGGGTCTACATTGCCGGGTCCATCATCTTCGTCAGCAGCTGCATCAACCCACTCCTCTACGCCTTTGCTGCCAGGAGCTTCCAAAGCAGCGTGAGAGGCACAAAGATGTCCAAGCTGTTTGAACAGGTGAGCCCTTTGCAGAGGCAGGGGGCCACCCGCGCAGTGGCTTGCGGCACAGAGAAAGAGGACACTCCAACCAGCATGGAGGTGGTCTGAGGTGAGTCGAAGGGCAAGGCGGGGGGTCTCTCCCCAGCCTTCCACCCACTGCAGTTGGTTACCTTTACTGGGTAGCTTTCTAAGGACTTTTTAATCTAATACAACATCTGCATCTTTGCAAAAATACAAACTAGCATGCTTCTCTTTCTATATGTTCCCTACCTAACAAGGAACCTGTGTGTTGAATAGGAATAGATCCAGGTATTTGCTGGAAATTTTTTTAAAGAGGAGATTGGCCACTGTACGTTTGCCCCGGTAATCCTAGTGGTGTACTCCAGATGTGTTGTAGAATTCCCATCTTTGTAAAGATGTACAGGAATGAGCTGAGGTTAAGGGTGAGCGCTGAGCTGGCCCTCAACACAGAAGCCATGCCAGGGCAGCCTAGCCAATGTTGGGAAGGCCGGTCTCATCCACTTAAGCCTGCTGTCTCCTCACGCTAAAGAATGTGAAAAAAAGCTGCATTGCGGCTACAGTGTCCTTCCAGCTTCGCCGGCTTCCTACTCCCTGCTTTGCTCAATGTTGGTGGTCCTGGGAGCTCAGAACCTCGCCCTGCACTTTGCAACGTTGCTCCTTTCACTTTTAGGAAGGAGGCAAAGGCGCTGCAACTGGAACTGGGACGGGGGACGGAGCAGCAGCTTTCGCCCGTCGGATTTTATCGCCTTAAGGACCTGCCAGGAAGGGTGTTTGTTCTTTGGAGTCCACCTAGTGAGCCCAACTGCTGGAAGTGCACCAGCCTGTCCTGCCTCTGCCGGGTTGGGCCGCCGCTGCCGGCAGCTTTCCCCACGCCCGCCCACCACCAGGCTTCCACAGAAGGGTGCCTGTGCGCAGAGCCCACAGCTGTGCGTCCTGGTGGCCTCTGGGGACTGCACGCTGCCATCTCCACCAGGGCTCTGCAAGCCTTTCTGCAGCTTTTTTCAGACTGAGGGAAGGGAGCTGCTGCCTGGCAATCAGGCCGGGAGAAGTCCGTGCATTGTCCTGATTCTGCTGCGCTGCGCTGCTGCTCTCTTGGACATCCTGAGAAGAGTGATTTCTGCGCAAAGGACGGGCATTGTGGCTCTACTCCCAGGCCATGGACAGCTTATGACAAGTCCTGGGATTCAGACTGCTGATTGTTTTAAATGGTCTTTGCATGTCAGTGGCTTTTCCAAGTTCTGTTTATGTTGTATTTTAATCTCTTGTAAACCACCCAGAAAGCTTTATCTATTGGGCAGTGTAAAAATGTACTAAATAAATAAATTTGTGTTTACAGATGGCTTTAAGTGTGTGCAAATTCTTAATTTAATAATTTTAATGCGATTTCTATGCAAACCTGGGTCCTCTCCTGCCCTCCCTTTGGGAATTCATACAGTTACTGCACCTGTGCAAGACTACTAGAAAGTTCTTGCTGAGTCTATTCCTTCATGCTCACCCAATTCAGTATAAGAAATTGCCCAGCTTCTCTGAAGCTGGACCTCCCCAGTGTGTTGCGCTGCAGTTTCCATCAGCCAGCACCATCAAGGGCTATGCTGGCTGAGAACAAAGGGAGGTGCAGTCCAACACATCCCTGCTTGAAGCACTGGCACCTGCATTGTCCCAAGTCAAATTGCTGGCTCATCTAGCCCTGTATGCTCAACACAGGCTGGCAGCTAATGACAACATGGCTTCCAATTGAAGTCCTGACCCAATTTAAGGTGTGGTGGTGACCTATACAGCCCTAGGTGGCTTAGGGTCTGGTCCATATGTGCCCACCCGCCCCTTAAGATCTGGGGCAGAGGCCCTGCTCCGGGAGTCCTCCTTGAAGGAAATTAGGAGGGTGACTACCTGGGGAAGGGCCTTCTCCGTGGTGGCACTCCAGTTGTGGAATACACTCCCAAGAGAGGTTTACCTGGCACCATCACTTTATTCTCTTCAGCACCAGGCTAAAACCTTTTTATTTTCCCAATGTTTTAAGTTTTGACTGTTTTAATATGGGTTTTATTGTTGACTGGTTAAGCATTAGACTAGGATGCTGTATTTTATTCTATTTTGTCTTATTGTTAAACCATCCTAAGACCACGGTAAGAGATGGTCTAAAAAAGGTTTAAATAAAAACATGGATCTGCAGGATTTCAGGCAGGAATTTCTTTGCCCTCCCTGTTTAAAAGTTGGCTCACCGCACCCCACAACTGCACAAAGTCTCTGCCTTGCAAACACATGTTAATCCAAGAGAGCTGCAGCAATTCTCTCCTTGGGTCAGAAGCCCAGGCGTTGCCCCTCATGGCCTCTTTCTTCCTCCCAAGAAGTTGAGTCCAGCAGCTCTTTTGTACAGTGCCTGGAGAAGCAGCATTAAATCTGAGCCCTTCTGCATGCAAAGCACCCATGGAAGCCCAGAGACTGGCAGGCAGGGCAGCTGAGGCTCCTCGCCCGCTGGTTTTGAGAATTATAAGAGCTGCTCATGGAGTGAACCGATTCTGGAGAAGACGTTCAGCTCCCATTAAGCTCTGGAGAAGAGAAGGCTCCAAGGGGATCTGTTGGCAACACATAGGTACGTTAGGGGGTGTCCCATGGAGGTGGGTAGAGACCTGTTCTCCCCTGCAGAGGAAGGCAGGACGCGCTCCAACAGAGCAAAGCTCAGGGAACCCAGGTTCCATTTAGATGCCGGGAAGCACTTCCTGACAGTCAGGACCCCGAGGGCGTGGAATGGGCTTCCAAGAGAGGTCATTGAGGCCCCATCGGTGCGGGTGTTCAAGGACAGGCTGGACGTCCACATGGTGGGCATGTCGTGAGCAGAGCAGGCTGGTGCCGGGGGTCAGACTAGATGGCCCAAGGAGACCCTTCTGACTTGCTCTCTTTCTATGTTTCTAAAACAATGGAAGAGGAGCCCCACTGCCCAGGCCTCACCAGCCTTCCCACAAGGCCTGTGCTCTACCTCTGAGATGCTTCCCTCCCTTTTGTTTGCGGAAAGCCGACTCCATTCATCTTCCTTCCAAGTCCTGCCTCTCCTGACCAGCAGTAGCTTTTGCAGTCCTGCCCCTGGAGGCTGTCCAGGTGGTGATGGCCCGCACAGAGCGTGGACCATTCTGCATACAAAACATGCAAGCTGCTGCCCTTCGGCGAGGAGGCCTCCGTCTGTAAAGCCACCGCATGGCGGTGCAGCTGTGCCTGGGCCTGAGGTTAATGGTCAGGGCCCTCTAGCCCTGGAAGCCCCCGAAGGACCACCCAGGGAGCAGGAGCGGAGGGGGCCCCCTGCAAGCAGGCCCACCAGCATACCCCAGCTGTGGTGGCCCCCACCGCTGCCTGCTTTGCTTTGGTGGTTTACTCTGCCAACAACTGCATACGCTTCCATTCACGGGTCGTGCCAGGCTCCCCATTCCCACATCCACACACTCCAGGCATCAGCAGTTGCTCAAGTGCAGAAAACATGTATCTGTGAAAATCAGGGGAAGTTTTAAAATGTCTGGCAACCAACAGGCGAGCTCTCTAAGTCGCCACCGGGGCAGTTGGAAGGGACCACCCATAGCTGTCCAAATGGGGATCTCCAGAGCAGGCTCCGAAGCTGAGTGGGGCCACCTGCTCCCTCCACGGAGCCCGTTCATCCCTGGGGCGCACTCACTGCAAGCTGTGGCACAACCACCGTGACGTATTGCCAGCGTGGGCTGGGGTGCCGCACCCAGCTCCGCTGGAGTAGCGCTTGTTTCATCTAGCCTGCTTTTAGCCGGTTTGCTAATCAGAAGACCATGGGGCACTTTCGCCACGAAACTCCCACAATCCGTCAGGAAGGCTGAGCGAAACATGCGATCAGCGTTTGTTCTTGAGAAATCCTGGTTGGTTTCTAGTCATCACTGCATCGCTTTCCAGGAGCTTGCACACAGACCGCTTTGTCATCTGCTCCAGCATCTTCTCAGGGATTGATGTCAGATGGACTGGTCTGTAGGTCCCAGGTTCTTCTTTTTTCACTTTTTGTAGACAGTGGCCTCTAGCTTCCCAAGTTCCACCTCCAGTCATCCGGGACGTCACCCATCCTCCAGGTTTTCTCAGAGACAATAGACCTATTGCCTGGGCACTTATATTGCATACTGACACTCCTTGGGTATAATTCTGGGAAAGCCATGGGTTATTTTAATGAGATATGCATTGCTTTTATCCCCGTGTTATTTTTAATGATTAGCTTTGTTATATTTTACCCTGATTTTACCTTTGTCATGTTGGGTTTTGAAATGAAGAAACTGAGAAATAGCTAATGTAAATACAAGAAATATATTCCGGGGGGTGGGGAGTTGAGCTACATCATTTGAGGCTTTCCCTTCACCCTCGGTTCTTCTATGGCATGCATGCTGAGTCTGGAGCCTGATCCCAATGATGCCTGATTGGTACCTGGCATTTAACGAGCCCAGTGGCCCAGTGGCCAGACTGGCAAATGTCTTGGACACCTGCCAGCCCTCCAGGGCTTCAGCAGGGCCCACGATTACTAACAGCTGAAAATCTGAAGCCACCATTAAAATTTCCCACAATGCCTCAGGGCAGCCAACGTACCATCCTTCTGGGGCATTGTGGGAAAATCGGAAACTAGTTTCCCAGGTACCCACTGCACGGACTAGGCCAAGAGGGGATGGGTCTGGAGAGGGGCACAGGAGGGCGAGGGCCTGTGAGAGCTCCTCGCCGCTTGCCTCTCCATGCCTTGGCTGCCATGTTTTCCCCCCTGCTCCTCGTAACACCTCTCCAACTGCTGCACAATGAACACTGCCAGGGCTCACAAGGAAGCTTTTTCTTAGCAGGCATGTGGACATAATCTACCAACTTCTGAATTTTCCCCCAGGTTTCTCTCACGGTCACTGGATGGAGGGAACACATTTTCCCAGCAACTGCAGATAGCTCACTGTTGTGATGCCAAGTTTAAGACCTATTTGCATCAAAATAAAAATTAAAAAACCTGCTCCTGGTGGGGATGCAGACTGCCAGAGCTGCTTTGTCGATATGGATCAGTCCATCAGCCTGACCTTATTTTTATTTTTTGTTGTTTGTCTGAGGGGGTTATCGGGACG